TTGCCCTTGGTCCATTTCTTTGGCTGTCAACAGTGCTAGATGCTGATCCCCATACCATTTCTTCTGCACTCCAAATTTTCCACTGCGACCTCTGCTTTAGGGACCTTCTTATGCTCTGCCTCAGACTCTATTTCTTCTGGATTTGCCTCCAAATCCATGGCCTTTATCTTTTCTAACAAGACTCTAGCTGGGATTCGATCCCGACCATCATCCTTCTCTGACAGGCTTCTATTCTGGCCAGCATTTCTTCTTTCAGGAGTTCTTCGCCAGCTCTCATTTCTTACTTTGCATTTTGTTGCTCGGCTCTCATTTCTTCTCTCATTTCCCTTAGATAGGAGTCAGTTTTTGCTTAGTTGACACTTATTTTTGCTTGGTTGGTTCTTACTTCCTCTCAGTTTGTTCTTATTTCAGCCAGCAGGTATACTATGATCTGTTCCACTTCCATAGTGTGGCAATATAGCTGCACGGTGTAAGTCTCAATCCAAATAATTCAACTGATTCAATCCTTTCCAATCCAACCACTTCTGACACCAGCTGTCACATATCTGAGTGACTCCTGACGAGGTTTTGGATAGTATATTGAATTTATTGACCACCAGTACACAAAACTCATAACTACAATTATAACAGCCTCACCAAGTTACATAGTCCAAATACCACTGTATAGTGGGGGGCGGAATCCAGTTGGGTCCACTCGGCACAGCGGCTACTGATTGGCCTATTGTACCTGCCCCGAGTGATTATGATGGAGAATTTGGCGGAATGAAGATTGGCAGGGGAGATCGAAGTACTCAGAGAAAACCCAAGCCAGCGCCACTTTGTCCACCACAAATCCCACTTGACAAGACCTGGGTTTGAACCCAGGCCACCACAGTGGCAAGCCAGCAACTAACCGCCTGAGCTATGGCGTGGCCATAAATACCACTCTATATTTTCTTTATTGCTAGTGAGGTGAGACTAAGTCCCTTGCACTGTGGCCACTTCTGGCCTATTGTACCAGCCCCAGATGATAGGTGAGGGTGATTGTGGAGCAATTGGTGGAATGAAGATTGGCATGGGAAATCGAATTACTCAGAAAAAACCTGCACCAGCACCACTTTGTTCACAACAAATCCCACTTGACCAGACCCGGGATCCAACCCAGGCCACTGTGGTGGGAAGCAAGCGCCTAACCACTTGAGCTATGGCGCGGCCCTAAATACCACTCTAACTATAGCACATATAAAATCTTCTCAGTCTTCACTAGATGTTTCCTGGTAACGAATTTTAACACCATCCATTTATGTCCTTACCATCTAGAACACACCCCACAACTGAACTAAGCTCTAAACTTGTCTCACTGATAAATCCTTGGGATGGGCCACGTAGAAAACACAGCTTTCCTATTGTTTCCGTTTAACTGTTACTGCAGAGACATGTTTACTGTGCCACTGCAAAGCAATGGTTGCAGCGTGGACCACAGAAAACACTGCTTCCAACAGCTTCCCTGTTGTTGCATGCTGATTCAGTGCCATGGGAACCTGTTTGCAATCATTACCTAGTAACAGGCCTACACACTACAATATTAGTACAGTTAACCAGTGCAAACAGGAACGATATAATCAACAGTGTTTCTGTTACTATCCAGTGGTTGTGTACCTTAAACTGTGAATTAAATTAGTGAGTACTTCTCTAAAAAACCCTAATGAATAAATTATTATTCACTGAAAGTTAAGGACATTCCAACATCTCTGAGATACTCGTGCAAAAATAATCCTGCTAGTACACCTACATGCTGTCCTGATACTGCTAAACCTGATCATGAACAATACTACAAGGGATCCAATTAGTCAAGGTAATTTTTATCTCACCACAATCCAACCTATTACTGCAACAGAAAAATCAGGCTAAGAAGACCAGATGTGTAGAAGGTGGAACAGTGTCAGAAATCATAACATAAAGATGGCTAATACATACTATGAATATGCAGAAAATTTCAAATACTTGGGAATGACATAAAAAGATTAAAATTGTATTTATGAAGAGATTATAAGCTGATTAAATATGACAGATGCATGCCATCATTTATCCAGGTTTTACCTTTTGATCTAAGACCTAAAAGCATGAAGATTAAACAGAAAACTATAATTTTGCCTAGAGTTTTGCATGTGTGTGAAACTTGGTCTCTCACATGAAGGACTTAGCACAGACAGGGTGTCAGGGAATAGGGTATTGAGGAGAATATCTAGACCTAAGAGGGAAGAAGTTACATAAAGTTTGAGAAAACCATGTAATAAGGAACTTCGTAACTCGTGTTCCCCAACAAGTACGATTGGAGTGATCATATCAAAGAGGATGAGAGGGGTAAGGCATGTAGCCTGCATGGGAAAGAAGTGCAAACAAAGTTCTGGATGGTAAACATAAAGGAAAGAACCTACTAGAAAGACCTAGACATACATGTGAGATTATTAAAATTGATCTTAAAGAAAAAGGATGGGAGTGGAAAGACTGGATTCATATGACTCAAAACAGAGACCGGTAAGGGGCTACTGTCAATATGGTAATGAACCTTGGGTTCCATAAAATGCTGGAAATTTATGCAGTAATTGAGCAACTATTAGATTCTCAAGGAAGACTAATCTCCATTCAGTCAGTCCGTCTGTCAGTCAGTCAGTGTAAATGAAGGAATGAGTTAGAACCAAAATAATGGTAGCACACACATAACTGATCAGATAAACAATTTCAACTATTTTGATTATGAGGTCTCTTACATGAAAAACAAAGGTGTAGGAAGAAATTAAAAACATGTACACTCAACTCCCGATTATCCAGGATAATGGTGGGGATGGAAATCACAATTAATCGAAAACCCAGTTAAGACAAATTTTATTAAAAGTAGTACTGTAATACTGTACCTTCATAATACTATAGGTCTACCTGTATTTAAATTTATTCAACTTCATTTTTATGTTATCGCATGGCCTATTTAATACTTTTTTTACATTACACTGAAGTATGAATTAGTTATTTCAATCACAGAGTTCAATAACATTCAACACTTTTTATGAATATTCACACTTAACACTTAAGAAAATTTAATATTGTCGTTTGCTTTTTCGCGGCATTCTCCTTTTTATGGATATCCGTACGAAGCGTACGTAATATTAGCTTGTCACTTAATGAACTGTTCTCTTCACTCTCAAGATGGTCTAGTAAGGATTCCAAATGATTAAGAGCAGCACCATGTGATACTTTCTTACTAGCAGCACTGTCCACCTCTTCCTCATTCTCACTTTCTTCCCGCTCTTCTGACTGCACCCCCACTTAACTTATGATTTCATCACTGCTTAACATTTCGAAGCCCGGCTCACACGAGTTACTGTTGAATACTTAACACAACACGCTTCCTTTTACACTCTGACATTTTGCTAATGCACTTGAAGATCGATACAAAGAAACTAATTGGGGCGGTGTATCTGTCCTTGAAACTTTCCACAAATCCTTGCATTCTTTCACCCCTACCCTAGAACACTGTGTTAGCATAACGGGACCAAAAAATGCTGAGCTCGGTTCACACTAGTGCAAAAATAGTGTTACAACTCACCATGTGAAACAAAAGTGAATGAATATTAAACAACATAAGCCTCAAAAAAGCTCCGGTAGCCCTGGTTAAGCCGGAAACCGGTTAATCCACCCCCAGATAATCGAGAGTTGAGTGTAGTTCTTTCTGTGGAATGTTGCAAATTATGCGCAAGGATGTATGAAAGGAAACCACACTGAAATTGTATATGTCAATGAAAATTCCATTACTAATGTGTAGCAATGGAAACTGGATATAAGAGCAACAGAAGTGGCTGACATATGGCACCCAGGTACTGTAGCACAATATATAATATAAGCGTGCCACGAGTTGGCACAGGGTGTGTGTCGGTGGGTTGGGAGGGTCACTGTGTACATGTGGACCATTTTGTTAAAAGGCAGAGCTGTGCCTGTAACAGGATATCAAAGCTCATAGGGGTGTGAGAGGTCAAGGCTCCCATATTTTCTACACAACCAGGTCACAAATGGCGGTGAAGTGGTCAGCTTTATGCATTCGCCACCCTTTACCATCCCCCGAGGAAGATTCCTGGTATCATTTCTGTTAGAGGCTGAGTCAACCCTGGTGCCATAGGCAGCTAAAAGGATTAGGTCAACTGATCCAGTGACTTCATTGGGATTCAATCCTGCGACCTCCCAGCTTGTAGCATAGTGCCTCATGTTACTAACACTATATCTGTCTTACAGCCCCAGACGCAGATCACATCACCAATGTGCTGTGTGTGTATGCATGTTAACTGGTGAGCTTTCTTTTATAAACAGTGCTCCATTTATTGCTAAGTACCTGTGATGTCAGCATAATGTAAAGTGTCAACTAGCATTTACATGTGATTCTGTTCAAAAACTGCAACATGTATGAAGATCTAAAGTAAAAAAGTAAAGTGAAGGTATCCCCTTAACAGGTCGTGGAGGCCCATAGGGTTGAGAGATGTTGAGGTTCCCACATTTTCTAGAAAATCAGGCTCACAGATGGCGGTAAGGTTGTCAGCCTTACGTGCTGGCCACCCTTTACCCCCAGAAATATTCCTGGTACTCATTTCTGTTAGAGGCTGAGTTGACCCCAAAGGCCATAGTGCGGCTGGAAGGATTAGATCAATTGAAAAAATCCACCTCATCGGGATTTGATGCCGTGACCTTCTGACTTATAGCACAGTGCCTCAACCACCTATGCTATTGCATGCCCCTCTGCATGAAGAACTAGAAATACAAAATATATGTGAAATGACCACATGATAATTACACAAGGTACAAACTTACCAAAAACAGCATGATAAGAGGGCAATGCATAATTAATGACATAAAGGAGGTGAAAAGGCTGATTTTGAAAGGAGGTAGAATTGGCCAGTCAGGAATTTCTAGGTGGTGGCGATGACAACTCCTTGACGCTTAAAATACTGTTAACAGATAACAAGTAAAAAACTTACAAGATGCCATATTCCTAGAAATATTGTTCCAGTCCTCACATGGCAGAAGAAACAACACTTCCAGTCGTTCCTGTGGTCTCCAAATTTAAGCCTCATTTCCTGCATACAGCAGATCTGAGAACAGAAACCTGCATACAGCAATTCTTCATACAAAACAGCACTATCAACGCGACAGCTTACAGTTATCTGTTTTTAACTAAACATGAACTGCATTAAAAAGGCTTTGAATTATTGCAGAAAATCTAATAGGTTTAATATGCACACCAAAAATAACCTATGCAAACAAAAATACGAAACGCTTTTGTAATTAAATATGCTAACGCAAATTCGTCAATTCTATACGTAGTCTTGTGACAACTCGACCCTGACGTATTGAAAACCAATTTCCTGAAAAACATTTCAGTCTGTTTACTGTAACTTACGTAATTTTCTGGCATAACGGATACTACTGTACCATTAAACTTACCTATCAAATTGAAATAAATATATAACACTCTTACACGGCTGGCACCTATCCAATTATCTTACCACAACCAATTTTACTCCTTCCACAGTTCTTCAATGGCGCACTGACGTATGTGTACGCAAATTCAAAGAGAGATGTAATTACGTAATGTTGTTAATTGAGTAAGAACAGAATGCATGTCGAAAACATAATTTATTCATTAATTATTTTATTCATATAGTAAAGTAAGATATTTATAAGTAAATTCCACTTTAGGAATTAGTTTGAATATTATTGTACATTAGGCAAAATCCAGTTTCTGCTCTCTAGCGGATAAAATCAGAACCATCACTATTACCAGCATTACCAGCGTCTGCGTCGTCTGCGTAGTAACCGGTAGTAACGTAAGGCTGTCGGCGACCGTGGGTAGGCAGTTTGTGTAGTCAGTGGTGGAATTAATGATGGTGCTGAAATGAAATTCTGTTGTAGTGAATGTCGGATGCTTCGAACAGATCAGCAGTAGTAATTACACTGTTGCAGCTACAACCACCGTGGGCCCTCCAGGCACCAATCACAGTTACCGACGGCGTGACCGGCGTGACTATGTCTCACATAGAGAGAAGAGTGGTTACAACTCACGACCCGGGAGTGCAGAGCGGTGCAGAGTATGTAGGGGACAAACTGTGCCATCTGTGCTGACGTTGCAGCCAAAGGACATGGAGGAGAAACGTATTGGAATGTACCTCAATGTCTGGCCAACAGTACTCCACGAACACCATTGCAGTTGCGTATGATCAGATGGAAAGTAATTTAACCCACGGACCAGCTGGTTGCTAAGGAGAGTGATGCCTACCATAAACAACAAGATGTCGATCCAGTTGCGGTCCATACACAAACACTTCTATGTCCGTTTCAAAATGGTTGTTGCAGAACTGTGAATTAGCTCCAAATATGAGTCTTCCTCGTTCTACAATGTACAAACTTGACCTCGTTTTATATATATATATATATTTCTAGTTACGTCATAAACGTTGAATAAATGAAATTGCCAATTCGAACACCGTGTCTAGTCACTAACACTTGACAATATGTATATATAAAATATACATATTATAAACTTTTATTTTCGTATGTCTCTATGCATTATAGACAATAGCAAATATTCATAATAATACAAATGTTTAATTAATATGCAATTGACATTCTGGTCTAGTGTGTATTCATTATGGCTGGTGGCCATTTTATATCTAGTTACTGACATGCATAGAGATCGCACAGCAGATGGTAGCACTGCTGTGCTTTCCTGAGAGCTGATGGTCTTGGGTGAACAGATTGAAGTTACAGTATGTACAAATGTAGTTACACAATATAAATCTGTAGATTAGGTTTAATGTTTCTATGATGTAACACCATGTAGTCTATTAATTGGTTATTGACATTTTGGAAGCACGAGGTTCGTTCAAAACGGGTGACCAAACTGCCGTCAAAACTCAAGTAATGCTCTCTCTGGATACGCAAGTCCTCATAAGACAGTAAGCTTCATGGCCTCTCCTGTGATAAACTAAACTCCCTTATCAATGTGTGTTTGTATACACTTATAATTGGTATGTTTCTTTACAGACTTCGGTAGATGTTCCCAGTTAGATACTGGTTCACTTATTAAAAATAAGATTTTATGTCACCAGGACTCTTGTAAGGGAATTCCTTTGCAGCCCACGAAACATTGTGTGGCAAATGACTTGCAAGGTTCTGAAGAATTCTACGTTTTCATGCAATAAGCATGCTGCAGAGAGTCCAAGAAATATTTCCTGCTGTGAGAGAAATCATAGTGAGTGTTTTGTGCTTGTGTGCACAGAAAAGAGATTTATTGTTGTCATCTGTCAATTCTCATGGCCAACGAAACGAAATATTTTACTGTAAGCTCTGTGAGTTTTCATAATTCATCTGGTGAGTTTTTGTTATACATGGTTGTACACATTATAACAGTTTGGTGTATTGTGTAGGACAGTGATCAATTAAAGGAGTGGTGTGGGTAGGTCGTATAGCACACGTGTGAGAATGAGAAATTTGGACAGAAAACCCCAAAAGGAACAACTTCACAGATCTATGTACAGGTGCAAGGATACTCTTATGACAGATTTTAATTAATTTGGGAGAGGTTGAACTGGTTTTGACTCAGGATACAGAGCCATGATGGGCATGTTGGAACACAGTAATGCACCTTTAGGTATCATAAAAAGCAGATATTTTCTGTACTGCCACAGGGATCATTAGTTTCTCAGGAAGGTTCCTGTGCCAAGAACTTACTGCTGTCTAATGACTTTGAAAGTAGTAGAGAAGAAGTCTGTACAAAACAGCAGTTATGGGTTAGATGTAATGAAAAACAGATACTTTGAGTAGACCATACTCTGTTTCATATAGAGGTGTTTTACAGTCGTGATCGATAAATACATAATGGTTTTACAGAACTATACAAATTCAGAGAATTCTGATTCTCACACAACATCTGATGATGCAAATCAGGCCATGAATGTGAAAGCTGAGGATGCGTCAGACCAAGGGGAAAAGTACCATGTCCCAATAACATTTATGGAAATAAAGGCTGAACCTGAGGTGAATTATGTGTTAGGCAGATATTACAAATATGCAGAAATGGTGGTTGTCTTTCTGATCTCCATCTTTGTCCATGCACGTGAAACAACTCCACATGGTTGACTGGATTTTGAAGAGGTTTTTCTGAAATTGTCTCAGTGTTGCTTGTGATGGACCACTCCCAGTTTCTTTTAAGCAGATCTAGTGTAGATGAAATCAAATACACTCTCAGCTAAATAATATTTGAGATAAATTCCATAGTAGGAACAATCTTTCACATTTTACTTGTCTATCCAATCCACTGAGCAGTGCTTTGGTACTACTTCATAGAGTTCCCAGGTTTTATAAATGCTGAAAATTATCATGTTGAGGAACTGTAACAGGATAAGTAATGAGTCTCTAAAGATCTGTGACAGTGGTTGACAGATTATACAGACATGTTGAACATTGCACATTGCTCATTATACATGAAACTTTGCTTCTGTTCATACCTTTTAGTGATTTGTTGTCCCTCTACTGACAGGTTTTATATTATTTTGTATTGGATAGACAGGACAGTCACGAAACTGTAGATACAAAGAACACATAAGATGTATAGAAAACAGCACACAGGAATTGGCTTCATAATGAAACACACCCACAACAAAGGGTCTGTTAATTTCTAGGTGTACATATACAAATACATAAAGATAAATCTACTTGTAGATGAAAAAACTAAGAAACATTCTATTCAAAATAGTATTTGCACAAGGTAGCACACATACACCTAACTGCATATTGGCACGTGTATAAGTCACTATACGAGTAGATGAGTTTTTGATTGACAGTTGGATTTGTTGAACACTTATAGATCGTAACTACAAACACTTAACACTGTTGATAATTCACACACTCTGCAGTTCAGTACAACATGTACCAAGTCTTCTCAGTCTGTGTCTTCTCCAGTTGTTCCCTGGTAACAGTTCCAAAAATGTCCTCAGCTTCCATGCTCACATTCTTAACAGCTGTCGATTGTCCCACAACTAACTCATGGTCAGAGTCAAAGCCACACTGCAACTGACAGTAAGTCAGTCTGTAAGTCTTGGTGTCAAGCCCCATCTGGGCCTCATGATCAGATATTTATTACTGTTTGACATTTATGGTCTTGTTTTTATGGGGTGCCCACTCTGACGAGAGGATGGGCTGTCTTTTGTATATGCTGCTGGTCCTTGCCAGCGCACTCTTTCTTGGGTCACAGTCCCTTGGGACTCATGACCATATTTTACTGTCTCAGATTTGAGACTTCCCTTTTCATTGTCTCTAATGACTCGCAAGGTCAAAGTGGAGGTATCTGACCCCACCTTCACACAGATAACTAACCCATAGCTTCAACTGTCCTTACTCATATTCAAAGTTAAAGTCACATTGCAAATGACAGTCAGTAAGTCAAGCCTCATCTGGGGCTCATAACCATATTCATTACTGTTTGACAGTTACAGTCTTATTATTATGGGGATCCCTCTCTTGTGAGAGGACTGGTCTGTCTTTTGTCAGAGTCAATTGCCATTTCAAGACTCTCTCATTATATAGCGTAGACACAAACTGCATAGAAAACACCACTTCCAACAGTTATTCCACTGTTGCATGTTACATAGCCATTACATAGCAGTGGCTGTTTCTCTGGCTTCACAATTCTTTCTTTTAGCAAATATTCCACAGTATTAAACCCCACATATCTTTATTCCAGTACCACCCCAGACACTGACCATATTAGCAGCACTGCACACAGCACACAGTAGCAAGTGATGGACAGGAATGAAAAATTTACATTAAATTTGGTGACCCCCCCCCCCCCCCCCAAATAGACTAAAGAAAAACAGCTAATTGCATCCTGTTACGTTTGCAGACTATGAGGCAATAACACTCATATATCAGTCATGTTCTGCACAAAGTCTGCATAGAAAAAGGGAACACTAACAGAAACGAGAATATCTACAAAATTACACACACCATTGGCAGTTATACACAAGTAAAGAACTCTCTACACTCTCATCTACCTGGGGTTTAAATTTTATGTAAATACATATTACTGCTACGAATTAATGTATACCAAGTAATCTCCTCTCTAACATGTGAGCCTCTTGTGGTCACCCAATAGGGTTGAAACACGTAAGGCACATTTTCTCTATTAAATAAGATTGTAACAGCTGCATGTTATTTATACCTGATGGCTTTTGTTACTTAAACATCAATATAAGTTATAGCAGCTGAAGTGTCTCATAACAGTTTGTAATGAAAGGTGGCACGTTTGCATGAACCTGTTGGGTTGGAGATACAGAGGATGAGTAGTGCAAAATACAACAAACAAGTTCTATATTTACTGAATGGATAAAGTATTTAGCTGATGCTACTAGTGCTAGACTTGTTGCAGCTCAAGAGGTTGCTTAATATGTGAAACAATTCACATGAGAAGGAACAAATGCCCTCTATCAACTGAATCTTAATACCTGGTCATCTGAGCTTTCCAACCTGAATGAGTACAACTTTATCACCTTCTGC